AAAAAAAAAGCCGGGGGACCGGACATCAACCTGATCACGGGCGGGGTTGCAGCGCTTTGGGGGGTTGAACCACGAGTGGTTGCAAATGAATCAAATTAAAATATTTATGGGGATAATCTGTCACTTGAGCAAGTGAATTTTTGCGGAGTCAGTAAGGAGAAATTAACAAAGAAAATATATGACTCCTTTAACCCAATCTGTTGCAGTGCAGTTTTCAGCTTTAAGTAAAAGATCTAGGAAAATAAAGAAAATATTACTTAAGAAAGAAAAAATAAAATATCAATAAACTATTAATTCCTATTAATTTAACCCCAAGGCATTTAATCAAATTCAAAACTTAAAGAAAAGAGTATGTGAGAGTTAATAAGGTTGCTATCTTAAATTGTTTATTTAATATCCAAGCTCAAAACTTTGTACACAGTTTATTATTGTTTTACAATTTTAAATTATTAATCGAGATAAACTGGCTTTTGAAGAAGGGATTTAACTGAAGCCTTTTTAGATTAACCCCGAAAATAGGAATCTCCTGGCTGGAATCGGTTGCACCTCCACTGCAGTCTAACTGCAGTTATCCTGCGTGTGTGTGGAGGGGGTCAGGAGCGAAGGGGTCTCAGAAGGACCAGGACGAGTTGAGCCAGACAGCCAGCATATTGCAATTTCGCAAATCAAACAAAAGGCAGCCGCAGAAAAAAACACAACACTGGAGGAGGAGAAGGAGTAGGAGGTGGGGTTAAAGGCGCTCGACCAAAAGGACAATGCACAGGCCGAGGATGGCACAGGCTCGAGGACTCAGGAGGCATGACGCAGGACGCAGGACTCAGGACACAACTCGGCTAATATGCACTGCACATGCAGCGAGTCTTACGCGGAGCAGGAGAAAACCGGAGTTTGGGGGCTTTAAACTTTTTTCATGACTCTTGTTTCGGCAGTTTGTTTGCCCAGCAAATGCATCCAATGCAATTTTTCGGGCCGCAATGTAGACGCAAGTCCTTGCTGCAATCAACTTTGCCAGGAAGCCAGGGAACCAGCCACCAGAAACCAGAAGCCAGGATCCGGAAAATGGTGTGGGTTTTTTGGAGCAGTAGCGATGGTTAAGCGGACGCTTCGCAAGTCAATCAGTCAAAAAAAAAAAAATAGCTGGCATACAAAAAAAAAGTCCCAAGCCGGCTAAAGTCCTTATTATCCTTGCATGTTGCCGGAGAAAAAATGCAATATCGAATGCATTTGGAGCTGCAGCCACGCCCCTTTTCCCGCCCCGCCCCATCTATCAACTAAACGCACTGCAGCCGCAAAGAAATTGCGAAAATGAAAACAACAAAAAAAAAAAACAAACGGAGGGAAATTGGGAAATGGGAAGCGCGAGAGAGAGATTTTCAATTAAAAGGAATTGCTGCTCTATGTGGATTTTTGTGCTTATTAGCCAGCCTATCCGTCCTTACCCCCTCCCCCTTCCCCTTCCCCTCCCTCCCTTCCCCCTTTTCCTGGCCTAAAACCACTCAAAAGCCGTGCACATTTGGTAATCAATTTCTGTTGTTGCCGCCGTTGTTGTTCGGCGGCTGACTGACAATCTTTGCTAATAAGCTGCCCCCCAGGCGCCTCTTACACAGGATACAACTACACTTGGCAGAAAACTAGGGGGAAACTACAACAAAGATTATATAAGAGCTTGAGCAACTCGACATGTTAGCATACCAAATACCAGCATGCAAATACCTGTTTCCATTTAATAAGATATACAATTGCTTAATTTTAAACGAGAAATTATATAAAATGTTACAAAATATTATAGATGAAGTCTAACCCTAACCATTCAATTGTGAAAAATAAATAAAACACAATTTTAATAATCAACAATTAAACTATATGAGAATGATTTAATTTGAGATAAATAATATTTGAGGTATTTACCCACAAAAGAATTCTAAGAAGCTAAATTACTAAAGTACTCGTAATCCCTTGTAAAAGAACCTATTTTTTATTACTTTCTAAACCTCTTAAAAACTTTTCTCTGAGTGCAGCTCCACAGAGCACAGATGAGATGATGCACTTGCATTATGCAGATTTCAGATTTCTGAATTGCGCCGCCGAAATGCATTCTGTGCCAGGCACTTTTTCTGGGCCTCTAGGATTCTGTTGTTGCCGCCGCTTTTCAATTAGGCCAATCCAAGGCAAGCCAAGCCAACGCGATTCTGGTGAGGATGGAGACTCGGATTAGTTCCGTCATTATCTATTCCACATGTGGGCATTCCATGTAGAAGTGTCGCATTCGGAGGACCAAACTGCCGCATGGGCAAAATATTATTGACAATTCTTCGGGGCGAGTTCGAAACAATAGAGTGCGGAATGCAAATCCTTCAGTCAGCTAATATTGTTTATCCCTAAGCAGTGTTCGTTCGTTCTCCCCCTTTTTCCCGAGAAGGAACAAAGCCGAAAAACTATGCAAAAATATAACAAAAAAAGCGATTCTTCGCTTCTGCGACTGCAACTGCGACCAAATCGAAAGGAAAACTCTTTCACAATGGCAGGTAGTCATCACCGAGGACTCAGAATGAATGGAAGAATGAATGGATGAATGGGCCATCTAACTGCATAGCGGCGAGTCCTGCGATGCAAAGTAAGTGCAAAGGATTTGCCACGACCAAAGGGCTGAAGTGGCCGACAAATGATTGACGAAACTGCCCCGGGAAAACTGTGAGAAATTCAGCCGTTTTCTTGATGAAAACGCAAAAATCGGAGATTTCATCCCCGCCCCCTTTGACAGCTGAAAATTGTGATTCTTCTGCTTTTATTTATTGTCTGGGATTTATATGCCATTCCATTTCCCTCATTTGGTTGGCCATTGTTTGCTCCTTGATCGGAGGTTGAATTTGACACTTCCCAAGAAGGCATTGTTTGAACGGGTTAATTTGTGTATTTAGTTGAGAGGGCCAGCTGTTATTGAATATCGACGGTGAAACGAAAACCCAATTAATGTCCTAAGACATCGGTCGCATTTTGCGGCACGTTCGTCCTTCGTTTTGCACCTTTCGCGATGCGGCAAGAAGGACGCAAAAATGCAGATCACGGCCCAAGGAGTCATCTCTCCGGCAGTCGAAGTCGTAATCGATATGCACCCGCATTTGTCGGTCGAGATGCTGCCCTTTTCTCTGGTCCCAAATCTGGAGACCATAACTCATCGGGGCAATGTGCAAAAGTGCCTGTATCGCATATCCTGTGGCTGCTTTGTCTGCCGCATCTCCTTTTGTGCGGATCGAAGTCAGCTGCAGTTGCAATCTGTTTTTTCCGCATTCAGCACGATCAAATATTGCCGAAGAAGGAGATATCCTTCCTAGGATATACATATATAGCATCCCGATCAGGTGGCGCGTGTCCGCTGGTGGCCAACTGTGATTTGCTGCACTGAACCATAATGCGATTCATCTACTTTTGGGGCGTCAGCTGGTGTGCGTGCCACGTGTATCTGGCAGATACTTTTGCCACAGCCACAGCCGCAGCCAACTGCCTTATCGACTGCATGCCGAATTACCCGCTTTCTCATTAACATGCCACTTTGGCCTACTTGTCTTGGCTTCTTTGCTCCATCTAAATGCAAATGCCCTCAGAAATTCCCAAACACTTTCAATTGCGAGTCTCAAAGTCAAAAGAATAATGTTTATATTTCAAGAGAGCACTTAAAAAAAAAGTTACCAAAAAGTTGTTTTTTTATGAATTACAGAATTGTTATGTTTAAGAAGGTTTTTTTTTATTTATTTCACTTTTAATAAAAATACTTTTGTATCTTGGCCTCAAAACCTCTGAAATTTAAATAGACAAAGTTGCAGAAGCTAAGATTAATGTTTATGCAAGTGCATGGCCAAAAGCTTTTTAATTAAGCCCTGCCTTCAAGGAGGGCACCCCGAATCGGGAATCGAGGAGAAATCACAGAAAACTGTTATTATAATCATCGTCTACGTCTGCAAGCGGACTATCCAACCCAACCCATCTGGACCACCCCCTCGTTCTTGTCGCCTACTTTGTCATTATAATTTTTCCTTTCAGCCGGCCAAAGCGATGCCAAATGAAAGAAATTTTTGCGGGCCAAAAGAAATGCATTTTATTATTATTATTTGTTGTGGTGACTTTTTAATCATTCCCTACCAAACAAAGCGGTTGAACGGAGGTGGTTGGGGGATTCGTGGGATTCGGGGGAGGGGAAGGGGTTGTTGTTCAAGAAGTGGAACCACTGGCCGATTCTTATTGGTGCACCAATACCAATTCCACTCGGACAGCTCAGACAGATATGGCCATCGGCTACTCCCACACCGACGACGATACAGCTGATGACGACGAATGGGGAAGTCTCGAAAGTACAACCACCACCGCAAGAAAACCCACACCAATGAAGGAAACACAAACGAAGACGAACCCGAAGACCACTACAATGCCAAATTCGCCGCAAAGAAACGAGCGCACGAACTTAAATGCCGAAGACGAAATGACTCCCCTTCGCAGCCGTGACGTCACAAGTCAAGAAACGCTCAAGGAAACGACCTTCAGCGAATGAGTGTGCGAAATGGAAACGAACGAAGTGAGCGAAGGAAGAGCATGCGATGAGTGAAGATCAGTGAGAGGAGCAGCGTGAGAATAAGAAGAGCGCAACAAGACGCTCTTCACACTCTCCTGCAGTTAAAGAAATGAGTGAGAAGTTTGGGAAAAGAACAATTATGCAAAAACATATACGAAATACGAATCGAATATTATACATATTTGAATCGAAGATAAGATTTTAATTAAATTAAATTTTAATTTCAACTATAAAAATTTACTTAGTTTCTACGTTTGCGGACATTCACTATTTACTTTTCATTTAAAAAACAGAACAATGTTTTACAAATAAATAAATGACATTATGACATTGTTTCTAATATCAAAGTTAAGTTAGAATTTTTGTATTATAAATAACATTTCTTCTCAAAATTTGAAGTACGATTCGGAGTACCTATAATTATTTATACTAGATTTCTCTAAGTGTAGGCTCTCTTCCTCTCTTTCTCAGCAGCGTCTCAGACGTTTTCAAGACCTGTCTTTCGGATTGCGCTCCGTTCATTTCCACGACGCGCCTTGTATCTGAAAGTTCGCTCTCGCTGTATCGTTTTCGCTGTACGGATACGCCACACTTACTGGATATTGGGTACTGGATTAACGCTAATTCGTTTTTGATTGCCGCCCTTGGGGGATCACCAAGTGGACCGAGGCGTAAGTAAAGTGTGTAATTAAGCAAGCACGCGGTTGGGACTTCACTCTCTATACGCCATATCCACGTTTAGATAAGCTAGATTCGTCCCCGGGGACCAAAACCTTATCTTGCGCCGAGTGCTCATGTCTTCAGGGGGGCGTTCTTTAGCTCTCAATATAAGAGGCGTTTTATTAAGGTCAGCAAATGGATCATCTGTATGTATATCATCGCTGGCTTTGTTCAGTAAGTGTGTTAAACATAAGGCGGCAGACTTGGGGCGCCTGAAGTTCCCCAAAGTCGCCGATGACTCAGTGCAGATGGATAAACATCGGGTGAGGAAAAAGAACGGGTGAAGAAAGAACGACCCGAGAACCAGAATCAAAATAGAGGAAACACAAGGAGAGGCATTCGGGAAAAAAACAAGCTGAAGATCCCATGGGCAGAGAGAGCAACAACAACAACAACAACAACGAGAACAGGGCGAAAAGGGGGGAAAACGAGATGGGAGACCCGCACATGTTGTCATGTGTGTTTGTATATCTTGGGAAAAGTGGGGGCAACTCTAGGTGGGGTGCATTGAACTTGGTGGCAAAGGGGGGCGATCAAAAACCCACCAAGAGATCACAGATCACCAGTTCCCAGAATTAAAACCAAGCCAAGCCTGGTACTTGTTGTTGTTATGGCGAAATTTCCACAGATCTCGCTTGTTGTTATTGCGAAAAAGCAAAACAGAAGAAGGGGAAGATAGAGGGGAAACAACATAAGAGGAGCAGGCAAAAGTAATAAACACAAAGACCCAAAAGTGGCAGCTGCAATTCAAATATTTCACAAAAACTCCGAAACTCACACATACCAAAAGTGCGAGAGAGGGATACACACATACACACACTCAGGCAAGCAAAGGAGCAGAAAAAGGAAGCGAAGAGCCAGGCAAAAGGAGACGAGACAAAGGGCAACGCAGGGATGACGAGAAAGGCATCAAAACAAGTCAGCAGGATCAAGGACACGCAGGCACTCACACATTTGAAAAGGAGCAGGCAGAGAAAACCTGAAATGGTTACACAAACCCAAACCCAAAGAGCGAAATGCAAGCGAACGAGCGAGCGAAGAGAAAGGGCAGATTAAGGACCCGTTCCTTTTTAGTCCTACTTTATTCAGTACGTCCATAGGTAGGTAAAACCCATTAGGGTAGTTCACTCATAGGTAATAGCGTGTGTGCGTGTGTATGGGTAGAGATCGTCGGGACATGCAAAAAACTACGAAGAACAGAGAACTGAAGAAAATGCATTGTCAAAAGGGAGAGATTATTTTTTCAGGTCGATTGAAAATCCGTTGCTAGGGGACAGGGCAAATTACTTATTGCACAGTGGTGCAAGATCAAGTCAAAATTTATTGGATCATTAGTGGAATATCTGAGGCCGCAATACTTTATAACTCAAGATGGTTTTTTGCTTTCATTAAGGGATAAGGGTATGAATCATTAAATTATAACTGTAGAAATATTTAAAAAAGTTTTGATCAAATAGTTTACAGGAAAAATGTCATTCTGGGCATAAATTAACGTGCTATTAAAATATCATAAGATTAAAATACTGTTCCATTATAATTCAGTTTCTTGTTTTCAAAAATAATGGAATATTATAGAACGTTTGTATAAAAATACTATAGAATAGCTTTGGTGTAAGGGACTTTCTGTTTGTTGTATAATAAACATTTACATATGAAATAGTGATCCCAATACGACTACCGTAACCAATTTATAGTTTCTACTTAAACCCTATACAAAGTTCCCTGTTCCGATTACGACCTCTAATCGAATCATTCTTCTCTCCACCCAACAGAAGGCAGCTGCCACTCCTCACTTACGAAGGAAACCGAATACCACCAGCTGGGTCGAATCCTCGCCAGTCGCAAACAAGAACAACAGGGGCACACGATCGCATCGCAGGATCACAAAGGACTCGTGCCATTCGAGCCGAGGGGGTTGTTGGTGATAGCGCCTCCTGAAAGAAGTACCGACTCATGCGGTCGGGCGTCGAGACAAAGTGATCCTGCGGCAAGGAGCAGAGCAGGACGAGCCGCTTATCAGCCATGCATGCGATTCGGGGTGGCTGAGGGTTGCAAACACGCGTTCTTATCTTAAAGCTCGACCTTTTTCGGGAGGGTGACGAAATAGAGCAGATGTGCAAACAACGCCACCGATGACTGATGACGGATGACTGACGAAGCCCAGCAATTACACCTTGGAGGGAGGCGATAATTTCCCCCCGAGCGGAGCGACTCGTGCCCGGCACACTTGGAGATCCCGAACAGGAGCCACTCTCGCCTGGCCACTCAGATTCGGGCCCCAGATTCGCAGCTTCTAAATTCCCAGTATTAAAATGTCGGTGGACAACAGTCTCGGCATTCTCGACTTCAGTTTGGCTAACGAGAGTGAAAAGGCAGCGATGACAGTGGCAACTTTGTACAAAACTTCCGACAAGGAGAACGATCCAGATGCCCAGCTAAATGGTATTATCACCACCGGAGCAACAGCCCAACCAGCCACGCCCACTGCCGCAACTTCAGCCGCCCAACCGCCCACGAGCACTCCTTCAGCTGCCAAGGATGCGATCGATGGTGGTTGTTGCAGCAGCAACACGGATCCCAAGTTTCAGTCATATGTGAATGGGAATGGCAATGGCATCTACAAGATCATCAAGACTCTGGGAAAGGGGAACTTCGCGAAGGTCAAGCTGGCGATCCATGTGCCCACGGGCAGGGAGGTGGCCATCAAGGTGATCGACAAGACCCAACTGAACACGAGTGCTCGACAGAAACTCTACAGAGAGGTGAAGATCATGAAGCTGCTGAATCACCCGAACATCGTGAGACTCTTCCAAGTCATCGAATCGGAAAGGACGCTCTACTTGGTGATGGAGTACGCCAGTCGAGGAGAGCTCTTCGATCATCTGGTGAAGAACGGAAGGATGCGGGAGAGGGATGCCCGGGTGATATTCAGGCAACTAGTGTCCGCCATTCAGTATTGCCACAGCAAGTTCGTGGTCCATCGGGACCTAAAAGCAGAGAACCTGTTGCTGGATCAGCATATGAACATAAAGATAGCGGACTTTGGCTTTGGGAACACCTTCGATCCGAATGCCCAGCTGGAAACCTTTTGTGGAAGTCCTCCCTACGCAGCTCCTGAACTTTTCATGGGCAGAAAGTACACGGGACCCGAAGTGGATGCCTGGTCGCTGGGAGTGGTGCTGTACACCCTGGTTAGTGGATCTCTGCCCTTCGATGGCGGCACTCTGAAGGAACTGAGGGAGAGGGTTCTGCGTGGCAAGTACCGAGTGCCCTACTACATCTCCATGGATTGCGAGAACCTGATGCGAAAGTTCCTGGTCCTGAATCCCGTCAAGCGTACCTCCCTATCGGCAGTCATGTCGGACAAGTGGATTAATCTGGGTCACGAGGAGAGCGACAAATTGCGACCCTTTCGGGAGAAGCCGATGGAGCTGCAGGATGCCGCACGCTTCGATTTGCTGGTGAACATGGGTCACAAGCGGAGGGACGTGGAGCAGTCGGTGAAGGGCCAGCTGTTCGACGACATCTACTGCACCTACATGCTGCTGGGCGTGGCCAAACCACGATCCTCCACCCGCAACCCCAAAACGGAGGCTCTAGCCACAGGGGACATGAATACTCCGGCAGTCAGCAGTCCGCTTCCCAGCATCACCACACCCACTGTAACCATTGCCCAGGTGACCCTCGCCATGGATAAGAATCCGTCCAGCCATTCTGCTGCAGCCTCAAGTCGTCCTATTGCTCCTCGCCTGGCGAACGTTCCTGTCACGCCTACTTCAACGCCTCCTTCGGGACCTCCTGCCAAGCCCACCCGCCGAACTCCTGCAAGGACTCCAGCCCGCAAGCCCTCGAATCAAGGACGTCCGGAGCCCTCGAGTCTGCCGCACACTCCGCAGTCTAAAAGAGCCAGTTCAAATATGGATGTGAAGCCAACTCTGCTGAGTGCCCAGCGGCAGTTGGCCCAGAACCAAAAGTTGGCCGGCACCCCGCCCCGTTTTCAATACCCCGGCTCACAGACTCCAAACCAAGCTCAGGGATCCTCGAGAAGACCAACGACTCTTTACGAGAAGGCGGAACCTGCAGTCACGCCTCTTTTGGTGCCCAAATCCCCTGCCATCGGAGGACGACTCATGGAAAGGATTCCAGGAGCGGCGGCGGTGGAGAAGACTTCCGAGAAACCCTTCACGCGACACAATGTGGCACGGGCCACTTTTCACTTTGGCCAGGCGCGCAGTGGAAAACGAGGTGGAGGATCGGGAAGTGGAGCAGGTGGGGAGGAGGATAACTACCAGACGCCACCCTTATCCGCTGACGACACCAAGCCCGCCTCCAGAGTGGGTTTCTTCTCCAAACTCACAGCTCGCTTTGGCAGAAGGGTGATCCACCTGAACGAAAAGGATGCCACCGAGCAGCGCAAGAACCTCACCAAATAGAAGAGATCCTTTGAATTGGAGCCCTTAAGCGATCGAAAAAGTTGTGCAGCAAGTGATATAGCAGTCCCTGCCAGGAAATTCAATTGATTTTTGGGTCCGACTGGTAATTCTAGAAGTTCGTCTAACTAGTGTGCGGCGAACGCTTTGCTTGAATTCAACGAAAAATTAGCTCCACCAGAAATGACAGCAGCAAACACAAACAAAACATCCGACAAGGAGAACGACCCGGATCCCCAACCACCGCGCAGAATTGTAACCGCCAGAACCACGGCCCGCCCAGCCAAGTGTGCTGATGCCACGCCCACTCTGGCAGCTGGACAGGATGTGGGCGCAGGTGGCAGCAGTGGCAGCAACAGCAGCAGCTCGGATCTCATGTTCCAGTCGTACGTGAATGGAAATGGCAACGGAGTGTACAGGATCAGCAAGACGATTGGCAAGGGCAACTTCGCGAAGGTCAAGCTGGCGATCCATGTGCCCACGGGCAGGGAGGTGGCCATCAAGGTGATCGACAAGACCCAGCTGAACACGAGTGCCAGGCAGAAGCTATATAGAGAGGTGAAGATCATGAAGCAGCTGAATCACCCGAACATAATAAGGCTCTTCCAAGTAATCGAGTCGGAAAGATCTCTCTACTTGGTGATGGAGTACGCCAGTCGAGGAGAGCTCTTCGATCATCTGGTGAAGAATGGCAGGATGCGGGAGAGGGATGCCCAGATAATCTTCCGGCAATTGGTGTCCGCCATTCAGTATTGCCACAGCAAGTCCATTGTGCATCGCGATCTCAAGGCGGAGAACTTACTGCTGGATCGGAATATGAACATAAAGATCGCGGACTTCGGCTTCAGCAACACTTTTGATCCGAACTCCCAGCTGGAAACCTTCTGCGGAAGTCCTCCCTATGCAGCTCCTGAACTTTTCAGGGGAAAGAAGTACGCTGGTCCTGAGGTGGATTCCTGGTCACTGGGAGTTGTACTTTATACCCTTGTTAGTGGTTCCCTGCCTTTCGATGGCGTAACCCTCAAGGAACTGCGAGAACGAGTCCTGCGTGGGAAGTATCGAGTGCCCTACTACGTTTCCTTGGACTGCGAGATCCTGATGAGGAAGTTCCTGGTCCTGAATCCCGCCCAGCGTACCACATTATCTGCAGTGATGTCGGATAAGTGGATTAACCTGGGTCACGATGAAAACAGCAAGTTGCGACCCTTCCAGGAGAAACCTCTGAAACTGCAGGATAACGATCGCATAGAACTGCTGGTTAGCATGGGCCACAAGCTAAAGGATGTGGAGAAATCCCTCAAGGATCAGAGGTTCGACGACATCTACTGCACTTATATGCTGTTGGGTGTGGAAAAGCCTGGCTCACTGAAACGCAGCGCCAAATCAATATCTTCTTCGCTGGACAGATCGATCTCCTCGCCAGCCAGCAGTCGGACTCCCACTGCCAATGGACCCAACGTTACCATTGCTCAGGTGAAGCTTACACTGGACAAGAAGACACCCGCATCTAGTCGACCCATAGCCCCTCGTTTGGCGAATGTCCTGATTACGCCCACTGCGACGCCTTCTCCCGAAGGGCAACCCAAATTCATCCGTCGCATTCCCGTTCGCAAGGCAAGCTATTCTCTGAGTGGACAAGGACAACCCGAGCCACAAACGGCGCTGCCCAAAAGGATAATGCCTGCCGAAGTCCCCAGTCAACCGCAAACAGCGCTGCCCAAAAGGGGAACCCCCTCCACCAAGGATGTGAAGCCAACCCTGCTGAGTGCCCAGCGCCAGTTGACCCAAATCCAGAAGTTGGCCAGCACTCCACCCCGCTTCCAGCCACCAGGAACCCAGACCCCAAGTCCAGTTAAAGGATCCTCGAAAAGAACCTCCACCTTTTACGTTAAAACTGAACCAACGATCACTCCTCCGTTGGTTCCCAAATTGCCTGCCAAATTCCAAACTCCACCGCTATCCGCAGAAGTCAACAAACGGAATTCGACAGGAGGCTTCTTTTCCAAGTTGTCCGTACGCTTCGGTCGAAGGACTCTCAATCAGGGCGAGAAGGATGCCGCTGATCCTCGCAGGAGCATCACCAAATAGCTGGTGAAGTGGGAAAACCACAAGTATTTTAAAACGGACGATCTATTTTGAGACCAGCTGGTGTTTTTAATGAAAACGACTGAAATTAACTAACAAATAAAAAAATAAATAAATGTTAATGAATATGATTTGTGTTGCGAGCTGAGGTGATTGTTCTGAACTGATCTTGAAACTTGACTGTCCACAAAACCATTAAAATAATTTAAGACGATCGCTTTATCTTTTTAGTATTAACGTTTGATGTGTTTGAATTAAGTTAAGAAATTTTAATTAGTTTAAATTTAGATGAGGAATGTTTTAAAGTCTGGGATAATAAAATAAGAATTTTTAAAGAGAATAAAAGAAGCAAAATAAAATTAAGTCCACCAATTATCTATTTAGTGTGTTATGAATTAAAAATAATTTACTCCATTCGCTCATTTAATTAAATTTTCTTTCTTTTGCTATGATTTTAAACTGACAACTAAACAATGTCTCCTATAAACAATTGATTCGCCACGACTTTCACTGGCTGAAAAACTGCGAGGTGCGTGAACGATCACCGAGAAATAAAGGAACATACTCGTATAACATTAGCCAATTGGCTGGAACATTGAAAGGGTAGCAGCAACAATTTGGGCTTGCGTGTCGCCTCGGCATTAAATGGAGCGGAGTTCGCGGGATTGGGAAGGGGGTTGGGAACCAAAATGCTTCATGGGGCGGAGGTTCCTCCGAGCAACACGAAACCGCAATCATTTTGCACTTTTCGAGGCAACAACAGCCCGAATAACTTAACTGCACAGGTTAGTGTTTAAGGTTTTTTGAAGGGGTAGAAGGGGCAGGGGGAGGGGTGGTAATTTGAAGGCGTCGAGCGGCGGAAGGAAAAGGCGTTCTCAGGCGAACATAACAATATCCGGAAAGAAACCAATAAACGGGAAATTCCGCAGAAGGGCCGCCGACTATGTCTTTTTTCGGTGGGAACCGAGTTGGGAAAAGGATAGCAAAGGACGGGGGTTGGGCTAGCCAGCCGAAAAGGGGTGGTTGTTCAGGACTGATTGGACCCATTGGGAGCGGAAGCAGAGCGTTTAATTCGTTAACTGGCGGAAGAAGGTGACGGGAAAACAAGTAACAGGTCGCACATAAATTAGTCGGCCCGCTAGTGCATTAATGTGCATGCCCACTCCTGGAAAATATCTCCCACAATTGCCGGGGCGGTTCGGCGGCAATTAGGCCCTTTCCCCGTACCACTAGTACTACCAATACCGATACCGATAAGATTGGGCCCAAACCGAAGTGCAAACAAAAATACTCGCGGTCTATTTGCACGGGACTAGAACGTAGCTGAGCTTCGATTGTTTGCTTTAAGGGTAAACCGCACTCGCACTCGCACTCGTACTCGCATTTACAGATACAGATACGGATATAGATACTATATATGCATACAGATCGGACTGATAAATCGAAATAGTACTTGAAGCAAATAAAAGTGCCTATGCAAACAGGTCGAGTCAATAATTTAACTAAAAGCGCGCGCCATCGATTAGATAGAAAAACAGGCGACAGTCGAGGTTTCTCGATTTTTTTTTATCAAGGACTGAATCCGATAAGATAGCCAACCCACTCCGTCCTTCCAATTGGAACACCCTCTAAGTAGGCAGCAAAACTTTTGCCCGGAAGTGCCAATAAGAAAGCCATCCAGGACTAATCAGCAGTGTCTCGCAGAACAAAGAACTTGGCTAATTTGCGGCAACAACTCGTAACGAGCATGTAAATTAAAGTAAATGAAAGTTTAACTGTAACTGCAAGTTGAACCCCCGTTTATCCAGTGGACTGGGTGCCAAATTGGCCAAGTGTAAGCCAAGGCTCTTGACATCTAATTGAGGGTGGATATTCCTTTCTTGGGGAGCAGGAATAGCCGCCTTTAAGTGTCTGCCGGCAACGCCTTGAGTGTGACTTGGGTCCCGAGGTCCTGCCACCCACAATTATGTCAATAGCCAAGTTTTCAGAGCCGGCAGAGATTTGGTAGTGACAAAACGTTCGGCTACTTTCCACTCCCCTCGAGCTGTTGGCATTGTTTGCGTTGGGTAAATATTTTACGGCCCAAGAAGTGCCACAAGAAACTGTAAGCGAGTCCTGGGATAAGGAGCTTAACCTGCCGGAATGTCAAGTGGGGCCGTCGTTTCTTTTGGCTTTTCATATTTCTCCTTTCGCTCGTCCTTTGCGGTCGCTTAAGAAACATTTTCCAGGCTTTTCATCTTTTTTTTATAACTCCCCTTTTTCTACTTTTTCTTTGGCATTGTTCCGCTCGCGCTTGCCAATTAGTCCTGTGCGATTTTGAATGTCCTTTTCAAGCCGAAGAATTTTTTGTTTCTTATGCCGCAACCCTTAATTAATGGCTCGCTTTTCCTCGAATTTTCCCTTAGCTCGAGCTCAGTTTGCCAACTATTTTGTCTCATTTTCCGGCTGACTTAAGCGCTTAATAGTTTTTAGTTTTTATGGGCTATATAGTTGGCTATCCCTGCCCCGATCCTTATTGGCGTGTCTTCTTTGGCTTGCACTTTTCTTGCTCAAGTCGAAAGTTTTTCTTATTGGAACGGGTTCGAAACTTTGGTCGTGTTCGTCCTTGTTTTCTGTGGTCGCCCGGCAGTTAATCAATTTTTTGTCCTTTTTTCCCATGGATTGTGTAAAAAGTTTACTCTACAAGTATGTTCCCCAAAATAATGGAGGAAGGGAGAAGGCGGTTTCGACAAGTCTTTTTGTGGTCGGGTGCAGGGAAAACTTTTAATTAAGAAAACCTTGAAGTGATTTATTGATTAGAGCTCCTGGCCTGGTCAAACTTTCTGTGGTCGCCGACTTCCTCCGCAACTCTCTTCTCCTTGTCTTTGGATAGAGGAGGAGGCACCTTTGGATATATTTCCCCCAGAAGGCCGGACAACCAATGAAACTCTACCTATCGCTTTTTATGGAAGATAATTGAGACGGTGTAGGAGGCCCTCTTTCCCAACCAAATCAAATAGACTGAGTCAAGTCAACAAATGCGAAGCGCGGCGAAATTGATTCGCTGTCTCTTTCTCCCTGGAGAATATAGAAAAATACCGATTCGCTGCTTACGGAAGCGCAAAGAAATACACCCACTACCCCGACCCCACCGCATTGAAATAAAAAAAAACCATGCCATACCAATCCAAACTTACATTCAGTCTGCTCAACTGGCAGAACGAAACTTTGGACCCAGCCCACAGAAACTTTGGGCATTATTACTGCCGGCCAATACGCAGTAAGAAATAAAGTCGAGGAACCGGCAAACAAAATGGTGAGCACTTCCGCCCGGCCCGAAAGTAATTACCAAAAGTCGGTAGTTGGTAGTTGGCAGAGGGGAATGTGGTGCCTCAACTTGGTCTGTGCCGCACATTTCACGCCTCCTCCTCCCCTCATGAAAAAGCAGTCATTGTTTTAATTGTAAACAATATGAAGATAATCAGAGGCCCGAAATCAGTGCGTTGACGGGGGAGAAACTGCAGGCCAGGTGCCCGGTTCTTGGTGACACCTCCACCTCCACCCATTCTACTTAAAAAAAAAACAAAAAAAAAAAAATTAAACAACTCAACAGCGGAAGTGTCGCCGTGACTGTGGGCACAACAAAAAAGCGGAACTACTCTTGAAAGATTTGCGTTGGACAGGTCGAAAGCGAGGCAGCAGCAGAGGAGGCACCTTCTCACCTGGCCCGCTTTTCTGCCTTTCTGTCTGCGGCTTTTCATCGGAGCCGGCAACTTTCGCGTTTCGAGGCTGTCATGAGTTGCTGGCCCTCGCATATTATTAACGTTTTAATACGTATTTGTGCCGGCTCTCCCCTGCTTTCGGCCACTTTGGTGCGTGCTGGCTGTTCGGCGGGGGAAAATGGTAGTGCCACTGCCTGTGGAAATCGCCGGGGAAGTGACAGTGGAAATGGTAGAAGGGGGCGGCGGCTGGTGGACGGAGGGTGTGTCTCGACCACTTGTTGTGGACCGGAGCACGTGGGAAAGTGGAAAGCGGCTATCGATGCGGACGGGACCATTGAGCTTCCGCCAGGGCTTACACTTGTCAAATCGTTATTAAAGTTATACCAAGTGAATCGGGGTCTTTGTTTACCAATTAATTAAAAACTGGGGTAGATCAAAGAAGTATATTGACCCTTGATAACAAAGGAAATTATTTCCACTTACAAGTTACAAATATTAGAATTAGTTATATAAATAATTAGATTAAACTAAGTTAGATACTTAATTGATTGATCATGTAAAAATAAAACAATTTTATAGCCATGTTACTCATATTTGATTTGCATGCAGATTTAAATTGTTACTCCTATTCTGTTAGTTTTTGAATGCAAAGACATTAAATTTTAAGTATGTTGAAATTAAGGTATTTAGCTGATGTAAGCCCAGTAACCAATTAAACTTTAACCCAATATAGACATAGAACAACTAACTCATTAAATTCAGGGTTAGTCTGCTGTTTTGAGTGTAGCTTTGAGCCTTGTCATGAGCAAGTGCATTTCAGTCGGGCGATCGAGATAGCGGCGAATAAAGCTAGATCCGACTAGAAAACAGTGCACTGATGGGATGCTTGAATGATTCCGCCACATGAGACAGATGGCAGATCGACTCAGATCGCCTCACGCCAAGTGCTCGTGCATCCGGTCTGGTTTTTGGGGGTTGGGCTGAGGCTTGATTCGCCTGCTTGCTTATGTAAGTCTGACCAGTGGGTGTGTGTATGTGTGTGTGGTGGTGTTGTGTGTGTGCTCTCCTCTAGATACTAAATAGTAAATACTAGATTACTAGTTACCAGATACTAGATACTCGTACTCGCACTCGTGGCTAGATGCTCGAACTCATGCATGGCGCGCACCAAATACGAAATAAATTACACTTGATTATCTTGTTGCTCGCCTGGCTGCTGCTCGACCGCTGATCTGTTGCAATAGTTTGTCCGTGTCCGAAATAGACGAATAAAAAACAAGAAAGATCAAGTGTCGACAGCACTGCCAATTTTAAATACCCTCTCTCTTGATAAAATAAGGAGAACTATATAGGTTTAGAAGTGGATTTATAACTTTTCCTGTGTTGAAAATGCTTTTCATTAGATTTGAAAAAAATTATAGAGTGATTTCTTACTATTTAAGACTCATTAAGATTTTAAAATAGTTATTTTAAAATGTATCTATTAATGCTCGTAAAAATAATAAGAGGTGATTGGCAATCAATTCATATTATACAATTGGAAATGAAATAAGTATAAAATTTATACTTATTAAAATCAAAGGGAAATATGTATATTATTTCATCAACTGCTTTGTATTTACTAGGAGTGGTTTGTTAGTTCTTGAATTTGTTATCTAAAATAACTCCAACTATGGAGCACTGATAAATACAACACTAATTGCTTTTATCAACTTTTCTTATCTGTGCTTTAGTTATGTTCAATTAAGTATTTGTTTGTATATATTTGTGGTCTGTTATATTTTCCAGGAGTGCTTCCCCACTACAAACTTTTCTAGAGCTTTCGTAAGTAACCTTCTCTTTTTCGAAATAGATAAACCCCAAAAAAAGTAGGGTATTGCAGACCAACAGAGACCCTGGACATGTGTTGATATTCTACAAGTCATTTGCTGACTTAATTTCCAGCGCTCGAAACGGAATAGAACGGAACCGAGCAGACAGCCGCGTTTTTAAGTGGGTGGTGGGGGGTGGGGGGTGGTCACTGCTAAGTGGGTGGCCAAGTGGGTGGGGGAGTGGTGCGGTGGTGGGGTGGTGGTGCGGTTCGCGACAGTTGCTCAGCGAGGCGTGCAACTTTGGACGGCGCTTAAGTGAGCGCTGCCATTGGCCATTGGCCGGTCCAAGTCGGATATATTTTGCTCGGACTCGCGATCGCAGCCAGACTATATACTATATATGCCCCGACAGCGGGCTTTATTTAATTCCAGATAATCATTGCGACTTGTTGCCGCGCTTGTTTTTGTCTCTTTCTATTTCTGTTTCTGTTTCTGTGTCGCGTTTTGGGGTAATTTTCTTTTCGCAATTGAATGAATTTGCGTTTCGTTCTGCCTCTAAACTGGCCAGCCCCCTTCTAGTTGAACCACCCCCCATCTCCTCCCCCGGCCCCACACTCTTTATATTGTTCGGTCTCAATAAGAGATTATTTCGAGGGCCGTGTATAGATGTATATTTAGATGGTTGCGCTCAGCTGCATGGTAGAAAATTTCACTTCCGTTCTTAAAACGATTTCCGCTCGACCATCAGAGGAGTTGGCCGAGCATGGCGAGCATTTCGAACATTTCGAAGTTTTCGCAGCAGGCCCCGAAACTTTCTACATGACATTTCCACCTGGATGCTGGCCAAAGTTCCAGAGTTCCGTACAATGTTCTCCAACATTTCGAGTGTGGATGGTGGGGGCGAAACTTTCTTGGCAGCCAGCGAAACAAAACAGGCAACTTGGCTGCGACTTGAATGGGTTGGGAAGAAAGGGAGAAATGGTCCGGGCATTGTGCGCCTAAAAGTCAACTTTAATTTAGCATTTTTCATAAGTAGCCTTAGGTGCACTTACTTATGCACTGGAAAGAAAACCTGCGAGTGGAATGGGGGCTGTGATGGCTGCACATGAGCAACTCGAGCCCAAGGGGCCAAAGTTCCGCCTCCAAGTGGATTTAAACGGGGGGAAAAGCAACAGCAACATCAACGGGCAGCTTGCAAGTTGGCAATAACAAGGAAAAACAAGAGCAGCAGTAGCAGCAAACTCATTTACACGGCATCGAGCTGGATAATAACGAGGCTGGGAAAATGGGAAAATGGGAAATGCTTAAGACTTGCTTCCTTCTATTTTGTCGCTTAAGCTGAAAATAATTGCAGCCTGCTTGTAAATCCAACAACGCAGCAACTAGCGGCGTCTGCTGTCAGCAAAAGGATAACACGGCGCCTCATTACACACACACATACGAAGGGGGAGGGGGCACACACATGCAACTTCAGCAATTTCCGTTTCCGCTGTTGCACTGCGCTCCCTACACACTCGTCTTCTTCTGCCCCAGACGCCTCTGTTTGTTTTTCTATTTTTTTTTTTTTATTCTGCTGCAAGGCTGGCGGGTGGCGGAAAGTCAAAGAAAATGTCTGCGTGAGGAGGCGACTTGGCAGGAGAAATTGAAACGGACACACGGGCCAGAGGATGAGAGGTGCAGATGCCTCATCTCCTCCTGGTAACCCGGCTGCCACCGTCTCTGTCAGTTTTCTTTGCCATTTCATCTTAAGTAGCACACAAATAAACAAAGGCAAACAAGCAAGGATGGCCGAGTCCTGCAGCTCACAAAGGCGCCTCTCCATATGGCAGCACTTTTCGATTAAGGATACGCTCTATGTCTCTGTATGAGTGTGTGTGTGTGTGTGTGTGTTGACTTTCTAATTAAAAAATGAAGTCCACTCGAGCACAAAGGCGTTTCATTAGTCGAAGACTGGACGCAGACTTAAAGTTAGGGGATAAACAGAAGTGGAGTGGACTTACCAAAATTTAAGCGGCTTTCTCATTGGATAACTTCTCGATATGGTGTAACCTGCAAGTAGAAAGCAGACGAAGGCACAGGGCGCAACGTAAACGTGAGATTAGTAATCTGGTCAAATTGTTCAGATGGTAGGCTGAAATGTTTGTGGAAAGTTAAATGGAGGGGAGTTCACAAGCCCTACGCCTTAGTTTTTCTACCTTTCAATAGAACTAATTACTAAATACTAAGTCAAATGCATTCTTGTAATTGCGAGCAATTTTTCGGTTTTATAGGGTTAATATTTATAGTTGGTCAAAGGGGGTTTTGAATGTTACAAGCTGCAAGTGAAATGAAATGAATTCGGATCCAAACAATAATGAAATAAGACAACAAACTATATACACATAAAAATAATATTTTCGGTGGATCTTTATAGTAAAAAATATCTAACTTATTTATTTTAAGTACTGCCATTTTAATAGTAACTTTGAATGCTGATTTTCAAATTTTTGTTAAATGAAATATGATTAAATCGGCAATCAGAATAAATTTGTTTAATTTAAGTTTAGAAAAATATAAATACTTGCAGCTTCTCTGTATTTTATCTTAGCTCTTGACCGCAACTTGTGCAATTCTTAAAGTACTCTAATCAAAATAACTGGGATGAAATGTTCTAGATATTATTATTAAATTGTCTTTTGGGTTTTTGTTTTGTTTTTTTGTTTTTTGCGTTTTTGCACCAATACCATTTGCGATATTTTACCCTTAATTTAAGTTACAGTGCCAGTGGCAATGGCGATGGCGAGTGCGAATCGAGCCGCTTCATAGGATCGGACCGCTTCATGGCGGCCGGCTGTTCAGCGTTGGCAGCTGGCGGCTGGAGCGGCGGCAGCGACAGTCGCTCCCGAGGAGCGGGACTGTACCGCTGCCAGGAGCGGGCGGGAAGGGTCCGCGGACCGCTCCGGTCGCTGGTGATGCGTATCGGAATTCGGTTGAAGGTTGCTCATTTTTCTCTGGCCGAGTCGTTGTGCACAAATAGATTTTTGTTGGGGGGACTTTTTCATTTGGGACTTGGGGAGGTGAACACAATTCACTTTAGCGCTGCGGTCAACGGGGGCCGGGACTTGGGTCATCAGGGGTCACTAATTGCACATTTTCGATTTTGTATATATTCATTGAGCTAAGGATATCATCATTTATTTATTATTATTAAAGGCACCGCCGCACGGCTTGCTTCATTTCTTGTCACTTCAATGCGAGGCACACCGAAAATTATGCCACACTTTTCACTGTTTTAATTCATTTCCGGTTACTTGGTTTTAGTTGCGTTTATTTAGTTACTTTTATACGGTTTCATTCGGAATGGTTTTCCAAAGGTTTGTTGCCGCAGCGCTTTTGTTTTTACGAGTTTAATTTAGAATTTCGAGCATTTTCGCTTTGTTATTTATTTCGTCAGACTTTTGTTTTGTGCTATTCGTTTTGTGTTATAATAACTTTAATTGGAATTTCTGTTAGTAAAAAAATATTGTTGTTAATATTTAAATTTAGAGAAGATATTAAAACAAATTTAAAACAAAATTAAATTAAAATATTCAAACAAAAATTATTATATCAGGGAAATGGGCACAAAGAAAAATGTTGTTTTTTAATAACAAAAAAATTAAAATAAAGAAAACATGTTTGAACTCAAACTGAAATATTTGTTTTGCTCGCCTAAATCAAACTCACAAATTAAATAATAATAGGTATCATTATAAGTAATTAAAACTAAACATAACTTTTGCTTAAATTAAAAATAGATTTTAAATTTTTATAAAAATATTTTATTTGTATTATTTTTATTTATTCTTATCATTGCTGGCACTGATTTTAATCACAACATTTATTACTGAGTCGACGAATTCTTGTTGTTTTTTCACAGTCGTATTTTTAGGCACACTTTGTCACAGTTTTGGGAAGTTATTAAATATATTGAACATTTTTAGAGAAGCCAGAGATATCATCCCCCAACTCGGCACGTACCATCAAAGAAGCGTGAACACAAAAGGCTAAAGGCTGACTGCTAACTGCTAACTGGTAACTGGTAAGTGATTACTGATTCTGGCAACTGCGCTGTTGTTGTTCCCTAGCTGAGTGGCCAACTGACCAAGGTTGTGGGCCCCTTTAACTGGCCGCTTCAGTCGCTGCTGCTGCGCTGCTGTCGCTGCGAGCCAAGACGATCAAATGTCTCCCAAGAAACGAAGCCCCAATGCTTTTATATTCGGCCCCGAGTGTGCCAAAGTCTGTGTGAGAGTATTTATATAAAATTAGATACGACCCGCTGTATCCAAACTATATAAGTATAAGTATGGCCTGCTGTCGGTGTTTCTATCTGTGTGTGTTTGTTTCTGTGTGTGTGTGTGTGTGTGACTGTATAGAAAGTTGCTGACAAAGTTGAGCGGAGCTGCGGCGAATCTGAGGCTCTGGCTGCCTTGGGCGCTTTAGATAATTTCCTGCCAAGTTTTTCCCCATCAAAGCCAAGACGCGCCGCCTGCCAATGCGCAGGCAGGATAATTGCGGGCTAACATGTCGTATGCGCAATGTGGCCACCAATGCCGCAGCAACAGCAGCAAGTGGCGCCCGCTTGCGTGTGTATTTGTGTGTTCAATGGTTTCTTTTTTTTGTATTAGTATTTGGTTAGTATTTTTTTTGTTCCATTCTGTTGGAGTGTGTGTGTGTGGCCCTTTGGTTGGCTAATCGCGAGAGAAGGCAGCGAATAAAGGCGCCGCAAGTTGCACGTACCACAAGACAGCGACACTTGAACTAATTGAGGAGGATCTGTGACTGGGTTCGATGGGCGAGACGATTGAGCTGGCTGAACTAGGCCTTAAATGATTACTGCTAATTTATTTATTTTTTTTAATTTATTTATTTATGTTATTTATATTTTATTTAATTATTTAAAAATATTTCGAAGATTTTCGGTTATATTTGAAACTGATTTGAATTGATTCTTCAACTCAGACACACAGCTAATGCACGCTAAATAATTTAGTTGTTTTTATTTAATTTGTTTGCTTGGTTAATATTTGATTGTTATTTTTGTTTTATTTTAATAATTTATTCGAGGTGATTTGAATTTTTTTTACACAAGTCAAGGCGGCGTTCGTCGGCGTCGTCGGTAGAAGACATACGCAAGCAAAACTTCTGCCAGCGCGCGTGACTGGAAACGTACTGAATTTTGTATTCTAGCCTGCGAAAGTAAAGTGGCAGAAGACCAAGGCGCTGCCTCGGTCGAAGTCGAAGTCGAGGATTCGGTCTCCGTTTCCGTTTACCGTTTCCGTCTCAGTTGCCGCTGCTGCTACAACAACAACAAGAACAAGAACGGCAAATGCTGCTCTATGCTGCCACTGCTGCTGCTGCTTCAGTCAACGCCTGCCCACATAAGTGTGCTACACTTTCTTGCAAGCAGGTCCCTACTCGCCCCCTTGATGCCACCACACCAATCTACAGTATTCTACGGCATTCTAGCGACGCCACCTCATCCCTTATCCTGGGCATCTGCGATAACGAGCTGCCTTTTCTATATACACGAGCGTCGTCGCTTTTAAATATATGTATATCCCATATAATAATATATATTATTTATATATGTATTAGGCGACGCCGGCAGCGGCAGAGGCAGCAGATAATTTCCTACACGCAGTAAGTGCAAGTAAGTGTGCGCCTGCTCACACACACAGTTGCACACACTTACTCATACACACACGCATACCTGCACGAAGAAGCGCTCCAAGGAGGAGTGCCGATTGCCGAGACGAAAAACGAACGGCGGCAGCGGAGGAGCGGCGACGGGCGGGACGGGCGGGCGGTACGACCGTACGCGCGCGTAGCTTAAGAAGGACTAGAAGAGAAGAAGCAGGCAGGCAGCGGCCGCAGCAAGCTGAGGTCCTTGCCGAGCTGCACTCGGAGCGGACTCGGAATCGGAAGTCGGATGCCGAAGCTGCTGCGTAGGTGTACGTGTGTTGCCGCTGCCTCAGGATAATGTAATGCACTCACACATACACACAGACACACGCACACACACAGAGACGCCGGCAGAGAGAGGACGCAATTAGAAAGCAGCAGCAGGACACGAAGCAGCCGAAAATCAGCCGAAGCCTGCGGCTTTGCATTCTTCGTGTTTTGCCGGTTTTCAGACACTTTCGAAAGGAGCAGTCCGAGGAGCACTCCCTCTCTCTTCCTCTCTCTCTCTCTCTCTCTCCCACTCGGCCTCTCTTTCGCTCGCGCTGTCTCTGTCGCTCTGCCAGCGTCTTCTTCTCAGGAGAAAACACACACTATTTGCTTACCCGTCGGAGGATTCGGAGCATCACATGAGCAATTCTGCGTATCAAAATCGAGTTCTGGACTCTGTAGTTTTGAGTTCGTATAAAAAATATATACAAATCATAATAATACGTATATATACTTATAAAAATGTTGCCAACAATCTTTTTGCTTTGTACTTTTGATTTTACATTTGAATTTTGTAACTTGTGTCTTTGTTCATTTCGTGTCTTCTCTTATTTTTTTGGTATCAATTTGTTCGCGACTTTTTCGTAATGTTTTTTTTGTTTCTCAAATATAAGTAGTTCGTTACTTTTGTCGAGTATTTTCTTTAACAACTAAAATGGACTGATGAGTTATTGTGTTGTGGGAGGGCAAACAAGTTCAAACAAATAACAAACTGAGAATCGTCGAGAGTTCCTGCCGGTTGAGAGTTTAGTCGAGACTTTTGGAGAGATACGGCGAAATAACACTTGAGAATCGTTCTTTGGAAGCCGGTAAATGTGTTTCGATTCTTTTTTGGTCTGAATGAGTTCCTTTTTTTTTTGATTCGATGTTTGGACACACGATCTATCAACTGTTTTGTTATCTGGATAAGAATTTTCTTATGATTTTGTTCGAGTTTTAGTTGCTGATTTTTTGTTGTTCCGCTTTTGTTTTTTTGTTTTTTTGGTTTTATTTTTGAGTGCACGCAAACTTAATACTTAAAAATAAATGAAAACGTAATTGAAAAATCCGAAAATAAAAATTTGTTTGTACGACGACGTTGATGTGAAGCTTTGTACTAAAAATGCGAAAAATTATTTCGCCGCGAATAGGCCGAGGACGACCGCTGACGGTGTCGTTGTCGTTGCGTTGTCGTTGTCGTTGCCGCGACTCTCTGCCCCAGCCAACATGTGTATGCATGCATTGGTGTGAGTGCGCTGGTGTATGTGTGTGTGTGTGTATTGGCAGCAAAAAATATTTGCCCGCCGCAGCCGCGAAAAAATACGCGAATATCCTGGGGGACGTGGATATTTTCCAGGGAGGCATTGCAAAGCCAAAGGCAACAGCAAAAGCACACACAGTGGGGTTTTTGCAAATAAAATCAGCGGCAGCGCAGCTAGGACATCCTGCCAGCCAGTCCTTCCACCCAAACACCCAAACACCCCAACACCCAACCACCCGAAACAGGATACTCTCCCACTCACGCACACATCGACGATTTGGAGGGGAGCTCACACAGACACATAAGCTCTTTGAGCTAGAGCTAGTGCGCATTTCAAATACTCGTGTACATGGAGGGGCAGGCGTCGCCGTTGGCAGCGCTGCCGGCGTCGACGTCGCTGCCAGTTGGGGCAGCTCAACAAAATGGAGAATGGGTATGTGATTGTGTGTGTGTTTGTGTGAGTCTGGTTAGGAAAGTATTAGTGTAAGGGGGCGAAAGAAGGAAGAGTTGGGGGGTCCAATGGTGGACAAGACTTTCTCAGGACATTCTCCTCTACTCAAGATTCCCCAATGTCCGAAATGCATTCCACAAGATACTCCAAAATCTGAGATACTCTGAATTTCGAGATTGCTGACAAGGACCTACTCAGAGTTGCCGTCGGTACTTGCGTTGGGGAAATGACTCCAAACTTGTCTCAAAAAATGCCTGGAGCTGCCAAAGGTTTCCCCCATTTTTTACACATTTTTTTGGGGGGCAAACACGTGCTAAGGTTACGAAGGTGCTCAAATGAAGCTAACAAGTAGTTTTAATAATGCGAGCTTACAGAATTAACAAGGGTGAAGTTCTGGCTGGGAAATTGGGTAATCGTTTGGAAGAAATTTAAAACAAAACTAAAAGATGGTAAAGATGGCACAAAATTTGTAGCAAAGTTTTTATAAAATGTGTATTTAAAACTTAAAATAAACCACTAGTTTGCAATTTGAAATAACAAAAAAAAATATGATTATCAGTAAACAAATTCCTGGTTATATATTCGACAAATCTAGATTATCTTGTAATATAAAAGGTCATCCTACCTAAACAGTTTTCAATTTTTGATATTTGCTTAACAAAACTCTATCGAAAAGATCTCTAAGTTCAGAAAACTCAAAAAATAAGAAAGGTAATCCCTCAATCTTCATTTCATGATGGACAAGTGCATTTTGGGGGCTTTAACAAGGGGCATTTGCGATTTGCGATCACGTACAGGACAATTTACTGATGTTATTTATCCATGGCGGTGTTCAGTTTCTCTCTCGTGTCCACGGCTACTTGCTGGCTGATCCCAAGGATCCTGGTGAGTCCTGCGAGGCGGTTCGTTGGCCACTCGAGCATCTTTGTCTGCGTCGCCGTCGCCGGGAACGCGGATCGGTGCGAGCGGTCCAGCTGGATGAGCTGAGCCAGCCGCTCCAGAGGATCGCGATGGAGATCTGGCGGCTTCTTAAACAGTTTTAATGCCTTGCAGTATCTTTTGGATTGCACCAGAATCGGGGCTTGTGCAAACATCAGAGGTAAGTCGATGGAATTTCTCAAATTTCCTGTTTGATTTTCTAGTTAAATGGGCATTTTGTTGATCGGTGAATTCAGTTTTCTTAATGTTGGCATCTTTGGAGAATTTGGTTCCGAACTTGGACAGTTGACAGCAGACGACGACGCAGACGAGTGGACGCCTCTGGCTGGACTGTTTTGTGATCGAGATCCGGATCCTCGGGTTCCAGATGTCAGGAGTTCAGGAGTTCGTTTCAATCGTTTAATCGATCGTTTTAAATTTTGGTCTTTGCGGGAGGCAGCGGCGTAGTGTTTAAAAATCAATCGGAGGTGTCAAAAAAATATCAGTTGATTGCATTAGAATTTCGTTGTTTGCATTCAATCGAAGCTGTTATTGTAACGCACACACACACGCGCACACACCCGCAGACGCACACACACACCCACGAACGAACGCACACGACGGATGAGGACACTCGCGGCCGGATACATATATTTAGAAATATATATCTATATATATATTTTATTTGTATATATTTTATTTCATTTATTGTATATAAATAGTGTTTGACGGCACTCGAACTGCAACTGCAACTGAAGCTGAAGCCGGAGCTGTAGCCTCAGCCCCTCAGCGGTACGGGGGGCGTGGGCGTTTGACTTTGGGGGCGGCAAACGCGCGCGCACTTTGCACCCATTTATATATATATATATATATATATATCTATATTCTATACCGTATATATATATATATATGGAATATATATATTTTATATATAATAATGCGGCCCCACTCCAATATTTGTGTGTGTGTGCTGGTTAGCTGGTTGCTGCTGGTTTGCTTTTGGCTGGTGGCTGGATTTTTTAGAAAATAAGCAAGTCCGAAACTGAACCGAACCGTCGACGACTTGGACCAACTCTGCGGCTCCTCGCTGGAGCGCCAGCAATCGTTACGTTACGTCGCGTTGGCGTTGGCGCTACTTCTTTTGCTCGCTGCGGTGCGTCGAGCCGAGAATATAAAAAAGCAATGTTCTACTCAAAAGACGTCCAAAAGCCGTATGCCAACTGCGGTGCCCGGCCGATGCCTTCCGATGCCGATAGATGCGATGCGATGCCCAAGCGATGCCCAAGCGATGCCCAGGCGATGCCATGCGTTGCGTTGCGTTGCGTTTCGTTGCGTTGCGTTCCCGTTCAGTTCGTTCGGCGTCCCGTCATCGCGACACGGACACGGATACGGACTTATACATGGCTTCCCCCCTCCGATCCCCACATCCATCTCCAATCCCCTGCTCCAGCATCGATGGCCGCCAAAAAAAGCTACAGACGCGCAAAATGCAGCGAGCCTCCCTTTCTCCCCCCTTCCCCTTCGCCTTTCCCACTTCGTATGTAAAAGCATCTCTCTGTTTAAGTTTTTTTCCTTTGGCAAAAGTTCGCGCGCGCAAAAAGCGCACACACACTCCCATACTCACACACACACTCGCACTTTTGTCTATGTACTTTGACCACTCGATGTGCGAATTGAGCGCGGTCCGAAAAGCAGAAAGGGGTGGTGGTGTAGGTGGTGCTGGGGGATGCCCATCAAGAAATAGAAAAAACTTGGCTCCAACTCTACGCAATGTCTACGCGCCCACACTTGAATTGGAGGGAACTGGCGGAGAACCACCCACCCAACCGCCCAACCACCTTGCCGACCCTTTTTCAAGCCGACCAACCACGCACGGCGAAGCTGGCAAGGAAATGCAGCTGCACCACCAACCCCCCTCAAACCCTCAAAAACCCCATCAATCCCCCCCGTTGTTCAGATCATTATGAGCTCCATCATCATCCCGATGGCAACGCACAAATCACGCAGGCGGATTGTGGGTGGTTGGGTGGCCGAAGGGCAGTTGCTTGCTGCACGTGCTGGGGCTTCAGGAACAGCTGCTGCTGCTGCTGCTGCTTCTGTGTGGATACTGCAGCAACCCCCAATCCCCACTCCCCTTTGGATGCCATGTAAATTTCCGAGGCCTGGTCAAGTAAATAAACTGCAGTCGAGAAAAACGACGGGGGGAATGGGTGAAAAAATGGGGGAAAGACTTCTAAAAATAAGCCGAAAAGAGACAACACAACCAAAAAGAAGCAACCGCCTCAGTCTAGCTGTCAGTGTGTGTTTGTGTGCGAGTGTGCGTGTGTATGTGTGTGAGAGTTCTGGAGTGCAATTGCCTTGCAGCGTTGCATCCTTTTAACCTGCACTCGCCGCTCTCGTTGCGCAGCTCTCTCTCTCTCTCACACTCTCTCTTCGTTCCTTTCTTCCCTCTCGCTCTCCTTCTCTTCTCGACGGAGTTGTCCTTTTTCCCATCTAAACTGTGGCAAGTTGGCGTCGACTGCGCCGCAAACGCCGACTTCGCTGCCATCTGCTATTTACTAGTGCAACTGCTGGTAAATGAAGCAGCCCCCCATGCCACCCAAAAAACCACTCAAACCACCCAAACACCCAGCACCACCCCCTCATCCCCCATCCCTCATCCATCGTGCCCCTTCAACTGTCGCTGCTGCTATCTTCTAGTTGGCAATTGCATTGCCTGCCTGCCTGCCTGCCTGCCTGCAATGCACTTCTCCTGTTGGGGAAACGGGGAAAGCGAAAAGGATGCACTGCGCATGTCCTTGTTTACATTATGTGCACGGCTCCAAAACTTCGCCTCCTGCACTCGTGTTGTTCGCCCGTTTGTGTGAGGATGTAGAAAAGCAAAAAGTCTACAACTACAACTAAGCCTGCAGCTGCTGCTGTTGCTGTTGCTGCTGCTGCTGCTGGGGAGAGTTGCACGCACACCAGCAACACGACGCTGTTGCTGTTGCATGTTGCTGCTGCAGCTGAACGCCGAGACACGGCGACAGGACACGAAGTCCTTGGAAACGAAAGCCGAGCTCAAGCTCGAGGAAAGCCTTCTCCGATCTTTAGACCCACTAAGCCAGTAAGCTTAAGACAGACAATTTTTTTTGCTGCTTAAGAGATCAGTTAAAGCAAATAATTTGGAAACCTTTTAACTTCTTGAAATTTTGTAGATAAAAACTAGGTTCTAACCAAAAGATTATTTTGAAAAAGATTGTGAACAGAATAGGTCTTTAAAATAATTTTGTTAAGTTTTATAAGCTTGAAAATATCATGACTCAAGTACAAATACAAAATTTAAAGCTTAAATAATCCCCGATCTTGGGGTCGAAGAGACTTTTTAAAAAACT